ATTTGCAATTGAAATGGTGTAACAATACTACACTGCTCGCTCGGAAACCTCCTTTTTTTGGGCTCATGATCTTTTGCTCCGCGTGTGGTTCGGTACTAGATGAAGAAGCAAACTTTGTAAAGGCTGTGGTAAAGGTACGTTGCTTAATTTAAAGAGATCATATTTGCATTTCTTTTAGTTCCAAGTAACAACTGACTGACTGTTTGCAGGCGTACAGGATTCTCCACCTGTAAAAAAAAAATGGGCCATTCCTGCCACTAGTCTTTCATGCAGTACATTAAAGAAAACATACAGTATTTCTTACATGGTTTATATCAGATCAACTTAAAGTACATAAAAAGAATGAATTACCGTGTTTAATCCTTCAACAAATACCCAGTTCTTGCTTCTAACCACTTCATTGATCTTTCCAATCTTTCCTCTATCTTTCCCAGCAAGAATCATTACCTTGAGAGGGTGAAATTCATTGACCTATTCAGTACACCACCTTAACAATAGTTTATTACCTCAGATTTTGAGATTAAAAATGCTATACGATAGGTTTTCCTTAAGACACCGTGAATGAAGTGATAAGGGGGGGAGGGGTGGGGGGGAAAGGGTGTGGTGACAAGCAACCTCTCACCTCATAAGAATCAGTATCATTCCGAGAGGCTTTAAGCTCTTGGCCCTTGTCCATTAAATATTAGCACCATCTCTGATCGCTCCCAATTTTCTTTGTTACTCTCCTTATAAAATTGTCTTCTCTGTACTAGAAAGGTTAACAATAATTAAATTAGCTTTTTTTCTGTTCCTTCAGAAGGGTAAGTGGAACGCGCTTCATATCTACCGATCGTAAAATTTCCTTTCACCATCTCTTTTTATCGTCAGAAATGGTGTTAATTTAGCTGAAATACTGAATGAACTATAGCTTCTCAGCGAACAAGGCTGCCTCGTTTTACATAATAACATGTGTATTAAGAACCCAACTGGTAGATTTTCTGAATTCGAAATGGGTGATGAACGCATTTATAAATGGTCAATATTTCTTACCGTATCCCCCCTCACTACTTTCCATTCTTTTAAAGGTACAATCGGTTGTCTCTTATTTCCAACACGTATTCTTGGAAAACGTAGCGGCTTTGGGGAAAACCCAAACGGGTTCCAAGGAATAGAAGGCATCACACCCGGTGATCCAAGATGGCACCGGTCTTTGCTAACCGAGGCAAACTGAAACTAGACGTATGACGTAACGACTTTGTGTGACACAGACTAAACGCTATGTCGCATTTATAGACTTCCAGCCGTACTTTAGTCATATGGCCAAAGATGTGGTCAAGATCGACTTAATCTTCATTTTTCAAAGGTGTCTTCTTTATTTGGACCTCTTAAATCCGTTTTCCTTGCGTCTCTTCAAACATTTCCTGAATTACATTTCAAAAGAGACCCAGTAGTCACTGTCACGTAAGCGTTACCAACGTGTCTCAGGCATAACCGTCACGTTTACAGTAAACGGTGTTAAAAATATGAAATATGAAGTTCTAGGGGCATAGAAGAGGGGGGGGGGCTTTTTAGAAATCGTCCTGAGAGCCAAAACGCGAGTCAATTTTTATAGAAGAGGGGGGGGGATTTGGGAGGGCTCAGACCCCCTACAGTTTCAACTGCTGAACTATTGCAAGCATCACAAAATTAGTATGGCAAAATTTTCAGTCTTGTAGTTTTTTCATATTTTTTTCATCAGGATCATGCTAGTTGAAATTATATGTGGTAACACATTTCTCCAGTGGAGGTAGGTGGTTGAACACAGTTTTTAATATCCGTGCTTCTTTCATTAATTTCTCTAAAACCCTTTATCTCTCAGTCACCAAAACTGGCATCAAGCAAGTTAACGACACAAACTTTGTTTTTCGATAGTTCAGCTGACATATGTGCCATTGCCATGATGACATGAATAAATATAACCAGGCCTTTAAAATTGGTTTTGTTTATTTGTAGAAAATCTAGCAATTAGATTTTCTTTATAATTTGCATGCAACGAGCTTGTAATGATACAAGTTAACACCATTCTGCTAACAATTTAACAGAGAGATCTTTAATTATCCCTTGTTGAAGGTTCACTCGCTTATCTAGAATTTCCTTTGTTAAAAGTCAAGTTTTTCAATATTCTAGTTACTTATTTCCTAAAAGTATTTCATGCCAAATTTCGTGAAATTCTAATAAGTGGTTCTCAAGAAAAAGGCATATTTCCAAGAAAGAAATTTTCCATTCAATCACAGTTTTTTTACTATGTATGTGCTGCGTTTAACTGGGTTCTTTCAGTAACAATGAAAAAGCTGAGAATTGCCGGGTTCTTCGCACCGTCAACTTTTCTAACATATCTTTGTAATAAAAGATTAAAGCCCTCAATAAACTGTGCCAACTATAGAGAAAAATAGCACAGATAGCGTGGGTACAAGTTGAGTAACTAAAATGACCACTCTATTGATGGCACGTTTATTTTTTGCAATCCTTGTGCGCGTGCTGAATTGCATCAGCAAAAGCATGGGCGAAAACTGTGTTTGGCCACCTTAATTAGTTAAAATTTATAGGTGGGAAGGGGACCCCACACATACACACACACATCATATGACATAATAACTATAAAGTAATGATTTCTTATTGACAAGAAAGCAAGTTACTTTTAATTTCTATGAATCAAAATTTTCATGAAAAGTCACTTTTCATATATTGATCTAAATATGAGATTGTTGGTAATACTAAATTGAGTTATTCTGAACACAACTATAATTATCATTATGATAAATAAGTTCCATCTTTTCAAGACTAGCCCACATGCAGGAAGTGACTATAAAACAAGTAGATCCCAACATCAGTATGCAAGTTCTCAATACTCTAGGGCGGATCCAGGGGTTGTTCGAGTGGTTCGGTCAAACCCCTTAACTTTTCCCTCAGAACACTGGAAATCATGTTTCAGAAGACCTAATTTTCAAAATCTCTCAGGGGAGCATGCCCTTGGACAATTCTCCAAACCCCCCCTTGACTAAATCCTGGATCCCCACCTGATACTGTTCTCTGCACATTTCCTACAGCAGTCACAAGGAGAATTTGTGTAACAATCAAGAGCTTCTTGCATTTGGGATCATTTCCTTTTTTTTTTTCTCACAACTTTGATGTTTGATTCAGGGTGAAACTAATGGAAGAAACAAAATGCTGATCACTCTTGGTGAGTTTAAGGGTTCATTAATAATCTGCATCTCAACAAGTAATATAAAAATTATGTAATTTTTATTAATTGGAGTTGAAATGCAGAAACATTCTATTATGGCCCCATCTCTGAGTTTGTGATACTACTGACGGTTAACAGGTGGTTTTCACTAAGCAATGATCATTCAGTGTACATCTAAATTCAAGCTGACATACATCAGCAAGTACGGTAATTGTTTGAATAACTAATGCCTACAAAAAACCACAACAAAATGAAACAATAGCAATTATAATCAAAACTATAACAAAGTTTTTGAACATGATTGGTTATCACCAGCCCACCCAGTTTGAGCACTTGTGGGACAGTGTAGGCATCATGCTTGTAATTTGGACCGTGTACAAGTCATACCTGTGTTACTGGACAGTAGCCAACTTAACTGTTGTTGTTGTTGTTGTTGTTTTTTTATGAAAATGTATAACCAATGGCTGGTTTATTTCTCAAATTTTGTCATAGTTTTGTTTACTTGGTGACAGGACTTTGTGTCATCCAGTTCTGTACATAATCATACACCTAATTGACAAATTGGACTCCCGCTTCAGAGTTGCCAATTTTGTTCATCACCCATATGATTACAGACCAAAGTGGACTCCATTCAGTTCTATAACCAATACAAATAATGCATAAAAAGTCTGATTGAATTTACCTTGCATCCTTACAAGTGAAAACCAGGAGTTAACCAATAACAAGGAGAAAGAATACAAATTTACAGAAACATTCAAATATTAACAGCACTTGAATGACAAGTAACTTTCCTGTGATAAGCAATGCCAAAAAAATTAACAAGGTCTATGCCACTGTCTTTGACACAAGTATCTGTATTTTAGGAGTTCTGGCTGTGTTTCAAGAGACTACTACCAAGGACTTTTAAGTAGCATTGAAAAGTTCTAATTGACTGAGAAATTCTTATACACAAAGTTCATTTCTTTGTGCCTCCAGATGCACCAGAAGCTTGTTTCTCTTCTGCTTTCTTCTGTTTTTCTCGCATCATAGCGGCATCCCTAAACAAAAAAACAAAGAGCTTACTGGGGCATATAAATACATTGAACCTCCCTCTAATACAAGGAGAGGCACAAATGTATGAGTTACACATTGACTACCATTTAATTACACTTAGTTTTACCACATTTACACCATAGGAAAGGGCAAAAATACAGACAGAGAGAGGAGCAATGAAATGGCTATGCTGAGTGATTATAACTTGGTTTCTTTGTTTTCATTTTTTAAGGCTTGACTTTGAAAGAAATGAACTTTTTCAGCTCCTCAGATTTTATGTTGATCAGAAAGAACACTTCGATGGCCTTATTTTTATTGTTTTCATCTTTCATGTGATCAATACAATGCTCAGAGAGGCCTGTAGGAATTATTTCAGAACCTAAAGGCTAAACTACTATGAAATAAAATGACAGTGGAATAGGACATCTTTCAGGTGATGGCTTAATATATAACACAGACAAACATTTTGCAGATTGATTTGCACCTTGGCATCATAATTAATTGCTTGCCAAAGTATTGTTAAAACTAGTCAAAAATGAGAACTGAAGATCACATCGTACTTCATCGTACGATCAAATTGTACTTCCAGGAGCCTATAAAGACCTCACGCAAGCATCAAATACATAGTTATGTGCGCAAGCTTCATGTAACGTTTTTAACTTTAAATAGCGTATGACAACGATCTTCATTTTTCATGTCACTGATGAAGGCTTACGCATTAGCCGAAACATCTGTTTCAGAAATAACAACAGTCAGAGGCAACTAATTCCATAAAACTCATGACATCTCCTGAATACACTTTTTCCATTTTAAAAACATGATGTATATTTTCAAACCTTTCTTTTCTTGCTTTGAGAGCTTCACCACTCTCGCCTCCTTTCTTTTTACCCATCTCTTGTTGTTTCTTCAAGTTTTTAGCACGGGCCAACTCACGCTGGTTTCCACCTGACCAGAAAGATCCCAAAGAAATGTTTCCTCAAACATGCATACATTCATTGACTAACCCTATTTGATGCAATGATCTAAGAGAGAATTCTCTCAACAGATGACCATACATTTACTTGTTACATAATCATAACATTTAAATATTATATCCAAACAATATCCCCTCGTTGATTATATTCTTAATTCTAATCAATCATCTACTAGCCAAGCGTACTAAAATTTTAGGGAGAATTTAAACACTAATCACTCCTGGGAGTCAAAGTATTAACCAAAAAGGGTTGCTCCTAAGTGCATGCTGGGGGGGAGGGGGGAAGATTTTAGAATAACCCCAATAAGGTCTACTCACCCCCTCTGCCCTACATTTTTCATCCACACAATAGACCAGGGACCAGTTGCTCGAAGGCCGATTAGCACAAACCCAGGGTTAAATTTTAATCCAGCTTTCTATATTTCTCTGTTCAAAAGCTGTTTCGGGACAATTTTCCCAATTATTTTTAGAGCACTCAATCATCAAATTCTAGACAAATGGAATTAAACTGAATCCTCTTTAAAAGCTCTCAGATCTGAAATCAAATTTCACACTAATCCTGGGTTATCTTAACCCACCTTGGAACAACCCGGCCCAGTGCTTCACATCACTGGCTGTGCCTTAAAACATTTCATACTGTCCACTGAATTCCATCAGTTAAAAGATAATTACATTTAACGATTGATCAATCTGGCTAGAGAAGTCATCTTAGATGTGAATGCACTCACAACACAACAAAAGCACAGGAAGTTGCTACTCCTTCAAATCATACCTAGAACTATCATCACTGAGAGTTTTTGAAGGAGTTTTATCATCTGCATGTACATGAACATTTAAGTGAAAGATAGCTTTATAGTTCAAATGCATACGAGAACAATCTTTGCAGTGAGCAACACTATTTAAGCAATAGTGAAATTAAGCTCCCAGTTGGCTTGTTAGCACAGTTGGTAGAGCACTCCACTGGCATCGCAGAAGTCATGGGTTCGAATCCCATGCTGGCCTGAATTTGTTTCAGGTCTTAATTTCACTATTACTTAAATAGTGCTGCTCACTGCAAAGATCGTTCTCATATGCGTTTCTGTAACCGCAGTTCATATATATGATTCTCATACATACTTAGCATCTAATAGTTCAGTTAACTTCCCATTATTGGCACAAAAATCAGTAATAGTAGATCGAATTTTTGTGACTGCCACTGCTTGCCAAATACAGTCATTGAACCATTAATTATTTAAACTATTCACTTTTACACGCTCTTTCAGACATCCTTGAACTAAGAAAAAGGTTTCCGAGTTTCAGCTGCATTTGTCACACTGCAAACCCGGTTTACTGTAATACGCTATATTAAAGCACATTTCTTCAAGTCAGCAAGTTTATCGAAACATTGTGAAACATTTGTTGATTTCGATTCCATTTTGTACCAGTTTCAATCATGTGACAATTAGGAGAAAATAATTGATCGCGTGTTAGTTTGCAACCTTTGCTTAATCAGTAACCATGTGATCAGAGATTCTGAAAAGATATCAGTTAGGTGATTAGAGAGAAAAATTGCCGAATAATTTCTGAACAAAGAGCCCTCTTTACGGACCTTGGTAAGCTTCAAGTCGACATGTTATAAATTCTACCCAAAATCGTCAAGTCATTTACCTCAATCCCCACATTCTCACTACGGATATACATAGAAAAAGTACTCACGAGTCATTCTGTGGAAAATCTATGGAGAAGGGAGTGAATCTTGAGGAAAAACCACGAGATTTTTCTAAAGAGGATATCCACGATACGAAAATAATTCCTTGTTGTCTAGAACTTAGTAACCAAGCATTTTGCCCCGTGATCCCTTGCTGCAAAAGTGACCAGTTAACGCAGGATAATCAAGCTACCATATTTCACGAAGAGACCGACGGTCGAAGTGACCAACAAGTCACATTTAGGGGAAGTTGAGAGAGCAGACGAATACTTGATACGCACGCTTTAATCAGCGTGCACTAGTTCAGTCGAATCCTTGGGTAGAGCAAACGACTATCCCAAAACTGAAGCAATGATCCAGAATAATTAACTTCTCTAGTCATGCGCATGAAAAAAGAGCAGGTGTAATGGGGCTCTTGATTAGAGTCAGTAATGTTCCCTTTAATGACTCTGAGGGGATTTATGGAATTTTCTGTTATTTTTGTCTAGAGCATTATCTGTATCAATTAGAGTGGCACAGATACATTTTCCAGAAAAGATTAAACTTTTCATCGAATTTACTGCTACTATAACGTATTTGGTACAATCAAAAGTAATCACGTGGGTCAATTATTTCTCGGGGATTATTGTCTTTTTTTTTCTTAGGGTCATAACGATTTGAGTTGCCAGCCAGAGGAGCAGTTAGTTAGTTAGTCAGGCAGATTTCTCAGCAGATCAAATTTTCGTTGATGGTTTCTAAGTCAAGTCTGTAAAGAGAACTTTTGAACTCAAATCAGTCACTTTCTTGAATCGGCTTTAAAGGGACTAGCCATGCATTAATAAAGTTTTTGAAAAGAAAATAGATTTGATCAGAGGACTCAGCAAGTTAATTGCAGTAAAATGTATTCTATTTCAGGTATTGTAAATAGTTTTTGTCTAAATGTCTACCCCACCATTTCCTTTGCTGTAATCAACGAGACGTTCATATCTACAGTGATAATAAAAAGCAGCTAATCCTGTCAATGACTGAAATCGCCTGTTATTCCCCTCCCCCACCCCCCCCGAGATGCTTAGTTCCCCAAGCAACTCGATTCTAATAGCCAGTCCTTCTTCGATTATTGGACTGAATCACACATCATGGCTGAAAACCAAGAATGATTCTGCTCTAGAATTTCTTGAAAAAGGGAAAAACATAAATAAATAAATAAATCCCAAACAATTACGGCCGGTTCTAAAAGTTTTTAATTTCTCGCGTTGGTACAAGCTTTTTCGTAACCGCACGAATCCAAGGGAAAATCATTTTCAAATCCTACTCTTTACGTCCCCGTAGCGTATTAGTCCAAATGCTTTGATTCGAGAGGGCCCTTATATTTCTGTTGAACTTATCAATTTAAGCAATGGTTGTGACTTTTAAACCAAATCGATTTCACAGTATTTAAGAATTGAAGTATTTTATTTTTAATGTTTTGAAAGCTGCATGAGGTTTGAGAGAGCGCACTGCTGTACTCAATACAACCTCGTTTCCAGGGCCTTTTCCCTGAAAAGGCGGTGGGAACAAGTTGTACCCAATAACTCCTACCTAAAAAAGCATTTGCCATCGACAAATAAGGTACGAAGGAGGTCATTGTTGCGTTTTTAACATTAGGTCCACGACAATAAAGGAGATGGTCACTAACTAAAGAAGCTCTTGATTATTAGACTACTGCAACGGTCTACTATATGGTAAACCCGCTGTTCATCTTGGCAAGCTGCAACGCCTACAAAACGCGGCAGCTCGACTGGTAGGCACTGTATCCAGGTATGATCATATCACACCGTCCCTGATCAACCTGCACTGGCTTCCGGTCAACCAGAGAATGGAATTCAAGATAGCACTGTTAGTTCACAAATGTATCTACGGCGTCGCACCACAATATCTCTCAGACTTGATAAAAATCAAAGTGAGTTAGCGGTATCAGTTGAGATCACACCGGGGCATACTCCTAATCGATAACACCTACAGAACAAAAAAGACACTCGGGGATAGGGCGTTCGAACATGCTGCGCCCAAAGAATGGAACCGACTACCTCTGGAAATTAGACAGTGTCAATCGTTGGATACTTTAAAGTTTTACTAAAAACACATCTTTTTAATTTAGCTTTCTATTAGTTCTTTTATTAATTCATATTTTACCTTTATTGTTTTTCCGAAAAATTGTAAATTATTATTATTACTATCATTATTAGGATTAGCCTCATTGCTGTAAGATTTTTAATGTTGTAATGCGCATTCGATCATATCTTTTATTGCATGTTAGACTGCGCAATATAAGATTTAAACATTATTATTATTATTATTATTATTATTATTAAACAAATTCTCCTCGTCAACACCTTATAGGAAATATATGGTGAACAGTATGGGGAATATGCATACTGATGAAGGAGTGTAATCAGTCATCCTGGCAATTGTGACTCGTTGGTAGCACAAATAGATCTAAGATGGTGCACATTTTGATGAAGATAAAACATATCCTTGGTAGGAACGCCGCCGATGACACAAAAATAAAGATCTTTGCATTCAGTCAGCATGGTGGTGTAGGCGATGTCGAAACGGGGACTGTGGTCGGACACTGCAATGTCAAGCTTCTTCGCCATTACACCAAGGAAGACGTCATCAATATGAATCAATTTCATCTACAAAACGTATCGAAAAAAGACAAAACGTTAGATTTAAAAATATGCAACATGCGAAATAAAGAAGTAAACTTTAAGTGAGGGGGGGTGGGGGGTCCAAACTTTCATTTCCAAAACACAGATTTTCTCTTTAAAAAAGCTATAGCTTTAAACGAAATAGAAATATTCTTTATGTCTGAAAGGAGGAAGGAAGAAAAAGAAACAGCGGTGGTCGACTGAGTGAGGTTGGGCCGGACGGGAAAATCTCTCTCCTCAATCTGCACGTCATAACCACAAGCTAAACAGTTTCCCGTCTGGCACTTCGGTCTTGGTCAATAAGGACATAGTTCTCTCCGTTACTAATCCTCAAGTATATTCATTTTTTTACACTTATTTCATTAATTCGTCTCCGAAAAAAAAAAAATACATAGTAGAAAATTTATTTAGAATAAGCCTGTTTTGTGACGAAGGAGGGAAACAGCTTGACTCCATCACTCTTTTGTGCCGGCTCTCGTCGTACTTAGAAACTCATACTTGTTATTTCTACGCGGTGTCAACAACAGCACAGAGAAATTATGAAAATTATGGGAGAATTCTAGATTACCTCCGAAGCAGTGTGCACTATTTTTTCAGCAACATCCCGCGAGAGGACGACACCAACCCCTGACACATAACTTGGAAGAAGATCATCGGACCATTGGTCTTCTGGAATGAAGTAAGGACTTAGAGGATTTCTAATCACCTTCACTCCACCAGAAGACAATGTGTGGTGATACCCTGTATACAAACCTTCCTTATACTTTGAGTCATTGCCTAATGAATGCAGCCATCTGATGGTCTCTTGAACGTTAACGAAAGACTCCGCGTTGACTCTTAATATGTACTGCGGGTCACATATCGTGGTGGCCCATTTCAGCCCCAGAAGGGTTTTCACCGTGTGGAGCTCATTTATTTGCGCATAAGTGTCCATGAAATTACCACGTATGATATCGTCGTAACGTTGCGATTCCTCTTCGACTCTTTCGTCGTTTATTTCGTCGCTTCCGATCACGAAATAAGCTTGAAACTGTTCATAAAGGGAGTTAGAGTTATACCGTTTCACTTCCGTGATTTTTGTCCCCCAAGAAGATCTCACAACCTTTCGCGCTTCAAAATCCTTGCTGGAGCAAACAACAATTATTACGAGAAACGCGTCTTTATTACAAGTGGAAGGAGTAAGAATTACCGCTGTTCTGTTTAATAACGGTGGGTAGGGGGGTAAGGTTGGTTTTAAAGCTGTAGTGACTGGCTGACGATTTTCTGGCGGGTGGAAAAGTTCCGGTTGAATTGTTTCTGGGTCGAAGATTGGCAGAGATGTTTCGTCTAGCACAGCTTCCAATGCTTCTTCATTCGTTTCTCGTCTTACGGGTAAATCTTGGTATGAACATAAAAAACGGGTAAGAACGCATCCAAGGGCAAAAGATACAACAGCAATCGCACGTGATCTGCTTCCCCTGAATTGCATCTCTTTGGTCCTCGACGTAATGTAGAAAACAATTTTCTGCATGAGGTTCTGAGTATTTCGTGAGGAGATCGCTAAAAACAATTTGCTTAAAATTCTTTGATAAACGTTTTCTATCGTGTAGCCATGTCTTCCGAAGAGAGCATCGAACAGACTGTGATGTTTTTGATTTAAGTACGCGTAACGATCGTAATCGTTGTTCGCAAAATGCATAAAATGGCATAAAAAGCAAGGAATTGTTTAGGTTGCCTTGAAAACGCCAGGCTCCTTGATAGGAATGTAGGTCGTTTAATTCAATAGAAAATATTCTTTAGACCAGAAGTTTACATTTCCTATCACACTTCGACGGGAGTGTTCGCCGAATAGTGAGCAATGGATGTTAAGAGTGAATGAGAAGTGTATATTTTATATTTGGGTTTAAAAACTAAGTAATATTAAATAAAAGGGTCATGCCTGTGGAAACTGTTTATAAGACTGACTTCTTTTTAAAAGCTCCCAAGAACATTTTAGGCAAGGAGTTTCATAGACAGTTCTAAAAACTTGTGCTTACAGACCGGTCAGTGTGAGTCAGTCCTCTAGTTTGTTTTACTGAACTTCTTGACTACCTAATGCATATGACAAATGTCTTACCCTTTTGGGGAAGGTTCTAAAAGATTTCTCTGAGATTTTTTTTTCGATGGGCTCCAGTTCGCTATGTTCTTCGGGTTTATTACTTACTTACTTGTTACTGGTTGATACTGCTTCGCAAAAGGAAGTATTTTTCCTATAATCTACTACGTACCTTTGCTCGCACGCGATTGATCGCATCAGGTGATCTAATTTTCCTCAGCTAAAACTGGGATACCTAAGCATATCATGACCCTAAGTGATATTCGGCCATATTCCCTAATTTTCAAACTTTTCATCTTCAACGATTAAAGAAGTGGCTTGAGATTTAATTTAAAACGTTTAACTTTTGGTTTACCAAAGTTCTGAGCCAAACAAAACACCATTAACTACGAAAGTCTCTTGATTTGTCGTTTACTGTTTTTCAAATGAATTGGTGTGAGTTTTACTTTCGGTGTAAGCTGTAAATTATTGACCTGGGTATCCAGCTGATTTACCAGATTTTATGCTTTAACTAATAGGCGACCCCTTCACTTAATTACTGGTTTGTAAGTTTCTCTATAGCCCTTCTAGGCCAAGACAACTTGGTTATTACAGCCTTACGACAGTTTGAGGGCTTATTCCCTTGCTTTGCCACGAGGTCTGGGCACGAGATTACTGACTGTTTCAGCCTCAGCCGCTTTCCCACGGAAAGAAATGCTGACGAACCAAAGAAAGGAGTTGATAATGATGGAGTGGTTTTGGGGCAGTCCCATATTACAGTACCAATACCTTGAGCCGGCTGACGAGTCTAAAGGTCGAGGACATGATGTACACGAAATCAATGCTAACCGGGCACGATATCCGACAACGTGAACTCGCAATTGGTTGTTTTTAAATGTTTTATTCATGATAGATTTTTTTTATAAATCTCGCCAGGGTCAGTAATTCTCTTATGTCACTCCAACCTTTTCGTTTTTGTGTTCTTGGTTCCTTAATTTTGACACCAGACATTCCATATACAGTTCCATATGAAATAAAAATGTAATTTGCGATATTAGTCCTCTTGAAGCTTTACAGAATATAAACTGACTCAAGCAACAAACAGAAAAGTCACTGCCTGAGTGTAGCGGAGTGGTGAACAATGAAAACAAATTAGCCGAGCGAAGCGAAAATTGAAGATTTTGTGGTGTAGTCTAGAATAATCCGAACTGACGACGGCAACACGAAGTCGTTTGCTTTGGCTTTTAATTCATGAGATAATACAGGAAATTGCTAGGTATAGTGTCCCAGGAAAATGAAATATTGATGACTTTCAGGATATTTTTGGAACATCCACCTGTCCCTCAGTAGATTTTGTGCGTCAGTAAAATCGTTAAAAATTAATGCATTGCGCAATAAATTTGGAGGTAAGAATATAAATAGAGTGGCGTTTGAAATCGAAAGTCGCTACTTTTGCGACGATATCCGTAATGAATTCGTTATTGCGTGTTTACCGATTAAAAGAAGGAAAATAATAATGATAATAAAAAATACACTTATAGCAAGGCGGAAAATGAGGGCATGAAAACTTTCTTTAAAATGTTTGGCTGTCATAGACGGAAATGTGTCTGAGACCTGAAGCCTTCCTCGCTTGATGATTTCCATTGTAGCCTTTCAGTAATCAAAGCCACAGAAACTGAAAATCGTTCACGAAGACTTCCCTTACAGACCTGACCGCGCTACATCCGGTCTGAATCATTCGATAAAAGAATTTCTTTCAGTTCCGTCAGGAAATGTTTACAGTTTCAGAGTTTCAGAAAGATACAGGTGACAGCCTTAGAACTAAGGGGGTTTTGTTACCTGAACGAAACTTTGCAACTGCGAATGATTTCCCCGCAATATCGCAGAAATTAAAATGTATTCAAACTCACTGTTTACAATGAGATAAATTGAGATATCAAACGCCTTGCAAAACGCTTCCAAACATCCCTCTTAGTGGGGTGAAGACTTTTTTTTCCTGAACTTTGAAATCACCATCGAGAAAAATTCATACCGTCAGAGTAACTTGACCTAAACGAAATTCTGTCACGTTCCACACGTACAGCGGCACATCAAAGCTTTAATTGCGTGCATGCAAAACTGCTCTTGATCAAAAGTTAAAGAGGGAAATTTCTGGATTCCGATCCGCTTAGCTGCATCCAAGTGTCAACAATCAACAGTCGATACCAATTCTTGCTGGATCGAGCGACCGTTCCGGATTTTAAAATATTGCCCTATTGTTTACCCTCCAATCGCGGGCGAATTTCACATTTTCACCGTTTATTTCGTATGAAACTTGTGTTTTATTGAGATACAACGAAATATATTGTGTTTTATTGTTTGAGACACTATCATATAATGAAATAAAAAGAAAAGAAAACGAACTGGTTTTTCAACCAGAACTAAACTCGATTTTGAGAAGTTATTTATGGATCAGTTATCGATTTTTCCCGGCTGTGTGTACGTGAGGTCTTGCATAAATGAGTGACGTCATTGACACCTTGCCCGTAGCAACAGAGAGGTTAAAATAGTTCTAAATTTATCCGCCAATCAGATGGTAAAATTTTGTGTATTCTTTCTGAACCGATAAAACGAATCGCGCAATAGCTCCCACTCCTCAAACAGACTCAGACAACAGTGTTTCGGTCCGAAAGACACCTAGTGATTCAACGTTATTTATTGCGAAGCACGTTAAGGATGTCACCCATTGAAGTCAGTCATACACCAAACCCCTCCACAAACAGAAGAATGAAAAGTCAAGACGAAAAATACGCTCACGATCTTGCTTCCGACTACATTTACTTCAACAAACTGGGAAAGGAGGCGTACAAATCGAACACAAGAGTCGCTGCAATTTTGCGGCGAGTTGGTGGAGAAGTGGAGAGAAGGCATGAAGTGTTATTGAAACATATGTGTAACAGGCTTAATCTTAGAACATCTAATGTTGAAGCTACTTTTAGAGGAGTCGTGGAGGAAATTTTCAGCACAGAAATCAATTGGGGACGTATTGTAGTTTTGTACTGCTTTGCCGCCGAGGTTGCTGTATTTTGCAGCAAAAACGACATTGATATCGTCGAGGATATTGTAACATGGCTAGCTGAATATGTGAGCGAGAGAAAACTCGCTGAATGGATCCGAAAATCCGGAGGATGGGTAGGTTAAAAGCTTTTACAAAAATAAGGGTCTTTTATTCGCGTAAATTAACGTGTATGCGAAACCGTTTTCGTTGCCACATCAATCGATTCTCGACAGAATGAAAAAAAGGAACACATTTTTCGGTTTCCTCCTTTCTCCCAATGTCTGTAAACTCAAAATAGTCGATGGGAAGTTTTTCTGTAGTGAAACGGGAAGAAAATTTAGCTAATTTCGGTTTTTCCCACGGGAAGTTTCAATGAAAGCGCAAACTGACTGGAAATGTTTAATGAATTATTTATAAGGGGCAGCTGGTTCTGGAAACCCTTAGTAACAGAGTCATCTGGGGCTTAAAATCATTCCGGGAATGTTTGCAGGAAATATTTTCTCCAAAAGACGATTATTTTAGGATTTTGCGAGCATCATGGTCCCTCATGTTAATCCTTATTTCAATCGAAAGTCAGTTACGTGCATTGAAAGTTTTGAATATTTATATTCCACACTCCTTTTTACCGCAACTTCGTTGTAAGATTTTGTAGCTGATAAGCTAAACTGAATGGCAAAAGAAGATTACTGATAGCGGCCTGACTGAAATATAAAAGTTGCCTTTCGTGCTAGAAACGATGGAACCATTTCAGTGGACTTTAATCACGCGATGACCGCTGCTTCCGTTTTTCGTCACGTTCACTTCACCTAGTCACGTTGATGGTCTTTGTTCTCTAGTTCAGATCTTTTTTAAAGTACCTGGATTCCGTTCTGGAAGCCAAAATATCACATCGCTCATAGAAAATAGAGATTCAGTATTGTTTCGATAGATCTTGAAGTAGGAAAACCGTTTATTTTTTATTCAGCAGGGTGTTGCCATACTTCACATACTTTGTTAAGAGGCTTTTGTATTGTGCTTGAGAATTATGTAAATATTTTCCGAGAATTAACGGACGCTCTCTTTGAATTATATCCAAGAGGAAAAAACTGAAATTCCTAAACAGTTCTGGGTAGATGCAGTTTTTTTTAGACCTTGATATCCTGTAGTGGTTAATTACAGTGGAATCCCGATTTCTCAAACCTCCAGGGAAAACGCAAATTGATTCTAGAAATCGGGGGGTGAAATTACAAGTGAAGCAAATCCAAGGGAAACAAGGTTTGGTTTGAGATATCGGGAGGTTTGAGAAACCGAGGGTTCGAGAAATCGGGATTCCACTGTATTTTCCCTTTTCAAACTCATGAAAAAGGTGGTAATAAATATATCACATCAACCAACTCTGTTCTTTGTCACTAAGTCCTATTGGTAAATGGTCAAAGTACATCAAAGTGCAAATTTTTTCTTTTTAAAACCTGTCTAATCCTGCTTTGAGCAAATTCTATAGCTTTGATTTTAGGAATTATGTCCATCATTATTTACTAACTAGCTTTTACATTTCTTCTTTAATCAATAGGATGCATTTTGTGAACAATTTAAAGATGTCAAAGCGGAGAGTGAGAAATTTTGGTGGAACAGTATTCTCTACACAACGCTGGGGCTTGGAACCCTGGCTGCAATGTTATATGTGAAAAGTTAGCCTCAGTTGTAACTCTGGGTTTGAAACCACAGTTGTGCCTCATTCCAGATCAGGGTACCCCCCATAGTACCAAGAGTGATGGATTTGCAATTCACTCGCTATAAGCACAGATGAATTGGAGGCTGCAAGAACCATAGTGCGGCAACTTAGAACTGTCAATGTCACAACAGACAGTAATGCTAGTTGAGATAACGACTGTTTTAGAAATATGTGTTCGAGTTGGTTCTTCTGCAGTCAAACTGTAGGAGTGAGGGAGAAACAGGAATATGTTGAAATGAACCAAAGCCATCGACAAAGGGTCTGATCTAATCAGCCTGCAGGATAAATATTATGTGGACACGTAATGTAGGTTAAAGACTTATTAAGAAACAATCTTTAGAATTTACCCTGTTCTAGTTATGGTTAGTTTTTTTTTATAATTCTAGTTACCAGTATATCAATTTTGGGTGAACAAAAAACAAGAATCCACAACACTTAACAATTCTTACAAACATTTTGATTTAGTTGGATGAGTTGATAAGCAATATTTATATGACCTTAAGTTTATTTTGTCCAATTTGAAGTTAATGATTTTAACTTTTATCTTACAGATAAAATAAAAGTATCCATGTGAATGGAAAATATTCTTTCATAAAATTGTGTTGGTCTTTGTTTGAGAAACAGCTGTAGTGTTTGCTGATACATATTTTGGCTGCGTGCCTGTGGAATTGCTTACTCACTTGAATAAAGTTCATTGTAGGCAACTTTTTAAGTTAAAGTATATTCTCCAAATTTGTTCTGCTGGCATTTAAATGAGTGCTATAGAGGAAACTTATTTTAAAGGGATTAAAGATGCATTAGAAAAACAATGAGAAAACATGGTCAGTTTACAAAGAATTCAAGAAAGGGCTAAACAAGAATAGACTTGCAATCACTGAAGAATGAGACTAGATGAAGGATCACTCATGGCCATTGTTTGAACTGAGGGGCTGATAATTTCATGCCCCATATCACGTGGGCATTTTATCGGCACATCCAAGTCTTTCAGAAAAGTTACCATTTAAGGTCATGTTTTATTTTTTTGCAGTGCATGACTTCATTTGCATGAGAACAATAGCCCCATATCACTGCGCTCTACAGTCTTTCCGGTAACAATGTGTCTGGGAAGGGATATTAAAATGAGAGATTTAAGAAGAGAAATAGGAATTGTAAAAGGTTGAGATTTTATGGCTTCTTCACAAAGAAAGCGAAGAACTGAAAAGGTATGCGGCTTAAACATGGATTGCTAACGCAGACTTAGACTTATAAACAAATCCCGTAGAAGAAGCGTAACCTTTTTGCATTTTCTGAGCGATCAGAGGCGAGGCAGGCACAAGAGAAGGAGCTTCGAGCTCGCCTGAAGAACGTACACATTTATCCACATTCTACAGGCTCGGGGCTGTTGAGCACGTCGAGCGAGGGCTGCAACCGGAAGTGTTCCCCCAACCGCGGTTTCCTGCGACCGTGACAACGGATGTTTGGATAGCTTCCTTATGCGTCTTATACGGAGAAAAAGTGAACGAAACTCTTTCGTCCGCCGACATCAGCTGTTAAGCAAAAAAAATTGTGCTTTACACGTGCAGAGCTGGTGAAATTTCACTGTCACGTTTAATTTCAACCGGCGTGGTCTCACTGTGATCACGTGCATATTAAACTCGATACAGACCATTGTACTTTGTTTGTTGAGTAAGCCTTCTCACTGAGTTTTGCCTACTTACAGTGAAAATCCTGTTCATACGGCGAAATAAACTTATCCAAGATAAGAACTATGATTTAACGCGTTAAGGAACTACGATGTAACCAACCAACTCAGCCTGCATACACTCATTTTCCGGAAATTTCCCCTTCAGTTTCTCAGTTATCTCGCTAACCTTTTCAACTGTCATGGCAAAATCTTGAGCGTAATTTATTTTTTATCTTATTACAGAGTGATTACTGAAACATTCAAGAGAATCTATTGTGATTGTTTTGAGTTACTTCATTGCACCTAACTTCTTCTTGAATTTTATTTTCCAACCGTCCTATCTCTTAATAACGATCCTAATCTTTTCAAGCACAATTCTCGTCGATTCCTGTAGCAATTCCTGGCAAGGGCAACAGACTGAACTGTATAAGTCAAGGTAGGAAATTATTTGATCCTGCACGGCAGGGATTGCAAAACGATCCCATGTTCAAAATATATCCTATCATGCGGGCGCCCCCATCTGGGTTCAGCGAATGGGTGCATATGACGTCATCTGTTGTTTTAAATTTTATTTGGTGATGGTTTGGTAGAAAACAGTTGACAGCTGAACTTTGACACCTGGAGAACTAAAAGCTCATTGGAAATTAGTTTCAGCATGCTAGGAAATGAAAAATGTCTTGCACAAATAAAACGTGATGGGCTGACTAATCACATGACTTTCCTTCAGCGCGATTCAGCGGAACCGGTTCAAAATGTCTTCTTTAAAAAACAAGTTCCACTATGTGGTCCATTCAAGTCAAATCTCTTTTTTTTTACTCGTGATGTACAAATTGTCTTTAATCCATGCTTTTTTCGTGATTCTCTCATTTTTTCAGAAATGAGTCGCCCTCGAACATTTTCCGAAGATTGCCGAACGAATATCTTTGTTGTTCGAACACCCTTCGGAATGATAACAGTACATGCCAACGATCATTTAGTTTCCTGATTCTGCTTCAAAAGATGTGATAACAAAGGTGCACCAGGGAAATGCTTTTTATTTCCCGCCGGCAATGACCACTGGCCATGCTTGGCATACATGTAAAGTCAGCACTGGTCATCAGTTACAGTCAAACTAAGTGATGCGTACCCCTCAAGATTATGGCGCGTTTTTCCTATCAAAATTCAATTTGTTAGTCGTTTTTACATACGACCTTCGTTTTTCAATTTCAGCATTTCTTTTATTCAGCCTTAACACTCGTTTTTCAATTTCAGTATTCCTTTTATTCAACCTTGACATTCGTTTATCAACTTCAACATTCGTTTTAATTAACCTTGAAAGTCGTTTTCTGAGTTCGACATTCGTTTAATTCAAGCGTGACATTTGTCATTTGTTTTCCTTATTTTCAACCTTGACATTCGTTTTATGTAACCATGACAGTCGTTTTTGAAGATCGACATTCGTTTTATTCAAGCGTAACGTTCGTGTATTGACGTCGACTTTGTCTTTGTTTTAAGTTAAACATTCGTTTTTTAAAATAACCGTTCGTTTTACTCAAGCGTGACATTTGTTTCCAGTTTGTCATTCGTGGTTTAATCCACTGCTTTAAACCCATAGTCACTCAAGTATGATAACTGGCTTTCGGTAATGATAAGCTTTGGCCTACCAGGCGAAGCTCTTTGCTCAGCTTGTGCATGGAAATGAGTGCTTTGCAGGGAGTCTCACTTTTCTGTTAGCAAATCGACGACATTTCTCAGCTTTGTTATCGTAGATTCCTCTATCATATGAACAGATGCAAGACGCACACTATGGTGATATAACAGGTTAGCACGAGTGTATAAATTGTCAAAATCGTGCTCTAAACTCTCTTCATCGCCGCTGCTATGGGAAAACAGCACTTCCAAAAGTGATCTAACCCTAGACAGTAAAATTTCTTCGCAGATGGACCAGACATCCTTGCGAGACACACTTTTCCCACAGTTCGCGCTCGACCCAGTCCTTATTGTACGTCACGCCTGATTAAAACACGAATGACAAACTGGAAACAAATGTCACGCTTAAGTAAAACGAAGTTGAATTAAAGGAACACTGAAATTGAAAAACCAATGTTAAGGTTGAATAAAAGGAATGCTGAAATTGAAAAACGAAGGTCGCACGTAAAAACGACTAACAAATTGAATTTTGATAGGAAAAACGCGCCATACAAGATTACATTAATGAATTGATCATTTGGATATTGAACCTGCCAGTCGTTTCAAGAATACAATAATGAATTGATTATTTGATTATTGAACCCGCTAGCCGTTTCACGAATGCAATAATGGATTGATAATTTGAATATTGTACCCGATAGCCGTATCCGTTTTGAAAAGGCGCGGATCATTGTTCAAACTAGAAGTCCATTTCTGAAGTCCAATAAGATGGTTCTATTTGACGAGGAATCCTAAAAATGAACAAACTGCATTGTAAAAACACTGCGAAAACAGTCGATCGCAAATATTAACGAAATAAAAGAAGTCTTGCGATGGCTTCGTCCGTAAACTATTTTTTTCGACCATGGATACACACAAGAATTTCTATAAGTTCGTTAAGATGTAAATAGGCGAAAAAAGCTCTCGATAACATTCCATTTACAACATTTACAAGAAGTTCTACACAACACTCAAGTCACCTTTCCCGCCATGTTGAAATGGTTCCGCTACATTATCACGTGTTCGCATAATCCAATCAGAAATGGACTTCTAATTTGAACAATGATCCGCAGCTTTTCAAAACGAATACGGCTATCGGGTTCAATTTTCAAATAATCAATCCAGTATTGCATTCTTGAAACGGTTAGCGGGTTCCATGTTCAAATATTCAATTCGTTATTGCGCTCCTGAAACGATTCGCGGGTTCAATATTCAAATAATCAAATCATTAATGTAATCCTGATGGGTACGCTTCACTTAGTTTGACCGTAAGGTTTTGAGTGGATAAAAACTCCGTGATTATTGTCACGAACAGTCACGCGTCACGATTGTTATGTAACATTTATTCACGAGCATTGTTTTGTTTGTACAGTTGGTATATCATTTCATCTTGATTTTCCTGTTTTTATATTATGATCAAATTACCTGTTTATATTTCACGACACGTGTTATTTGAGTAAGCTGTTTTCGGCAGATCATTAAACGAGTTCATTCATAAAAATTATTGCGCGATGAGAATTATGTAATTATTGACCGAGTGGGAGGGTCAGACGGGAAAATATTTGGCTCGAGGGTCCGTGCGTCATGAACGAGAGCCAAATATTTTCCCATCTGACCCTCCCACTCAGTGAATAAGCATTTTATCAAATGACCACCGAATAAGTTTCAAGAAATTCGAAAAGTTTGTTATAACTTAACTACGACGCGATAGACTGGCACGCGCGGGAAAACAACAAAAAATATTCTACAATAAAAATGTTTCCTATATCTTTTCGAGTCAGAACAAGAAACTCGCAAGTAACCGAAAAATGTGACGTATTTCCTCATTTCTGCTCACTGCCGTCACTCGTTTTTTTAGCAGCAACGGCGAAAAAATGTCGCCGTAAAAAAGTGCTCTTGGGCCGCACAGCTTTTTCCGGACTGGCTCACGTCCATGACCTATCCGGCCCTACACACGCCAGCTTCCACTATGGTTTCCTATGGCGAGCAGGGCCGAACGGGTCATGTGATAAATTGCATTGTTGTGTGATTACAGTGACATTGAATGGACTTTCTTTGATCCTCAGCCCAGCTAGAAAAAACTTAACTCTTGAACTCCCAAGAGCTGATTGTTGATTCTCTCCTTAAGCTGCTACACATTTCCTTGTAAGTCATTTACGAGAGTTTGATGTTGGGTCAAGATAACTCCTATCTGATACCGTAGTTTGATATAGCTAGGTTTGAGTATTTTCATTACGCAACTGTTTTGCAAGATAATGTATGCATAATCATTGGGAGAAGTTACCCGTTCATCACCGCTGGAGTTAAATTTTCAGGGGTTACCTCTGTTACTAACAGAGTCACTTCGTATAACCACTGAAAGACAAATTCGAGCTAAAAAATTAAAACTCATCCGACGGGCCAAAATTTGGGCAAAGTTTACGTAAGCGTTTGATGCAGGTATTAATTGGTATGTTCTGTCACGCCATCGAAAATTTACCGGTATCATAACAAGGAGTTCAAGATTACGTGGTACGAACGCCCAAGAAAATGTTGGGTATGAAAATACCACTTTCCTTAGATAGATTTAATGAACGAATCTGTTCCTAAGTGGATGAAAGAACACAAAAGTTATTCTCAAATCAAATGCTTGTTCTTTCCTCTTGATCTGCAGAATAGAAAATTGGTATCTTGCATCCAGCAATCCTGTATTGTTGTCATTTCTATTTCCAGCCGCTTGCTTATTGACTTGCAATTGCATCATGTGAAAAGACGCTGAATATAGATGTGAACGCATTGTAGATGCAGACATCACGTGAAAATTACGCAAGCCACCTCGCCACATGCAGCTCATGTGCTCACTCCTTGCCGGTTTGGTTTTTGGTTTCAATCAAAATAATTCTTATTCGTCCCGGGGCAGGGAACGTCAGCGTACGGCAACGACTCATCAGCCAGGGTGGAGTGAGGGGTTACTTCTTAGTAATAGGTTAAATAGGGATGTGCCGCTGGATGGTGTGGTATTTTCACGACTATAAAGGGGTTGTAATTTCAACAGAATAGAGGAGTATTCAGGAAGTATTTTTTGGTAAAATGTTTCTTCAAGTGACGCTTGACTTGCTTGTAATGATCAGCGGAATGCCCCACAAAGCAAGCGTCTAATCCGAATGGCATTCTTTTAGTGTTCTCTGCGGTGAGGTTAATTGGACGAAAATAAAAGAAAAAATAAAGATAAATTAACTTGATCCATTCTCAAAGCCTCGAGGCAGGACGACGGCACCTTTGAAGATTGGTAAGGCTGAACTAAATCTGGTGGGATAACAAAATCACCGGGTGCATTTGTCTCACTGAACTGATCACAGATTATTTTCATCAAATATACAAAACTTTCCTTGTGCGCCGGGCCGGGGCCCTTCATACTCTCAAACTGACAACAGTTAACCGCAAGATTTTAGATATTTTGTTTCGACTAATATTCAGAATTTCCTTCGCCAGCATCTTTCCTCGCCTACCAAATATTCGCCAAATCTACACTATGTATTCTTTTTCTTTGATTCAAAACTAATTTTTTTTCTTCTGAAACTAATTGAGAATCGTGTCATCACTTAATTTCCTCGTGACTTTTTTTAAAAGAGATACTGATTGGCTGATTTGTGCAACTCGCGGTCACGCGCGTTACCTTCTATTCAAAGACCACGCACCACTAGTCAACAACCAAGGATTGTAAAATTACCGCACGTAACAATCACGACATCAGAGGCTGTAAAACCCCTTGAAGTCATCTTCATTCTGAAACAGAGTTTTAGAACAGGTCATCAGAACGTGTAAATCACAATGCAAAACGAAATTACCAAGGCAATTGCGATTGCCATTTTGTTTGTGCTTACCCTACTTGCCGGTTTAGTGCCGCTAAGAATTCGTCCGGGGTCAGGGCCCGCTAGCGCAAGACAGCGAATCCTCAGCCTTTGTAACTGCTTCGCTGGGGGAGTATTCTTTGCGACGTCTTTGTTAGATTTGCTGCCGATGATCAGAGAAAAGTATCAACAAGCGTTTAATCTGGCTGGCATCCATACGGTATTTCCCGTTGCAGAATTCACGACATGCATTGGTTTCTTTCTTGTCTTGACTGTAGAACAGATCGTTCATTCTTGCCAGGATTCTTCGTTTTTACACGGATCACCCGGAAACCACACAGCCAAAAAACCGCTTTTGAGTGAAACTCCAGACGATGGTTTCTATTCCTCTTCGAATTGTTCCCATCTTCCCCAAAAGCGAAGGAAAAACAGACACGGAGAGTCGAGTTTGAGAACTTACATATTAATCGTCGCCTTATCGTTGCACTCAGTTTTCGAAGGACTGGCTCTAGGTTTGATCACAGATGTCGATCGCCTGGCACAAATCGCCGTAGCCATCGTGATCCACAAATCGACCATTGCGTTTTCGTTAAGTGTGAACATGGTGCACCACCAAATGTCAACAAAAACTATTGTCAAGTCTTCCGTGCTGTTTGCAATCATGGGTCCGATTGGCACAGTAATCGGAATGGTGGTACTACACTACTCTACTGCACAAACAAGCAGTCTCTACTCGGGTATTTTACAAGGAATTGCAAATGGAACCTTTTTATTCGTGACATTCTTTGAAATCTTTCAGCGAGAACTGGCAGAACAGGGCAGTCGTCTTCTTAAGGTACTGGCCATGATCGTTGGTTATTCTGTGGTTACGGGTTTGTTGTATTATGCAAACATTCTCGAACACAACGATACGAACGTAAAGCCGGAGAAAGGAACGGGGAATGTGACTGTTCTACCGAATGTTGGATCCTAAGTAATAATGAAAGACGAAAAAACGCCTCATCTGAAAGCCTATTCCCATAATTAATAATATAATGTCATAACTGTTTGATTTCAGAATTATAAGCCTTCTATAGATTTTATGAATAGAAACGTGATACTATATGATGTTTTTACGGAGACTTGTTAGCATCTGTGAAACGACTTGGCATTTTATCAAAATTTAAGATTATTCAATTCAGCTTGGCTTAATTGGTACTTGTCATTGAAAGAGTTGGTGACCATTTTCAGTAACACTGAATTGTAATTTCACAGTTACATCTAAATTTTAGTTATGAACAATGAAGGCTGAAGCTGTTTTGTGAAGTATGATGTTTTGAATGTTTGGTAATGATAATAGTCTGGCATCTCAGGCAATGAAACATTAGGTGAGCAATACAAATTCATCACACACAGCTCGACAGTGAGCAGACAAAAAAATTATCTGATAGTAGATATTTCTGTGTTTAAAAGAAGACCATATTATCTTTAGACCTATTATTTGGACTACTATAAATGTCCAGCAGACTGTTTCACATTATTAGTCCCCAACAATTAATCATTTATTTTTGTAACAAGGACTTGGTCCACTGAGCTGCAGCTCTAAAACTTTTTTGTATTTTAACTAATTATAAAGTTGACTGGCTGCACGTGTTAGCTAAAATCAAACATGATAAAGGATGAATTTGTCAGCTACCTTACCCTGCTTAATCTTTCTTGCTCTGTTATCACCAAATTTAACTTAATGAACTAATGTCACATTCCTATTCATCATTCAGTTCAAAATAGTTGGAATTATTATAGTAGTGGGTATGGTGCTCAGTCGGGTTGAAACAACCTAACAAAAGATTTCAAAATAAATGTCAGGATTTGTAACCATTCACACATGCAACATTTAGTGGGGTCAAAATCTCAAAAGTCCACCTGTCTCTTCTTAATCACTGTTCCTTTCAGAGTTCTTGCCCCTTGCCAAATGCTTTAAAGAGAAACCTCAAGTCTTCCCTTCCAGTGGTTTTGGATAAACCTTGTTTTCAAGTTGTAACCACAAACTTTTTAAGGTCATGAATTTCTTCTAATTATTTGGGCTTACATGTTATTTCGATTTTGCTTTCTTTGTTCAAGACTGACAAGATATCATTCAAATTGCATACTGAAAACTGCATGACATGGCTGAAAAAACACTAGTTTGACTGTGTTTAGATACAATCATTTCTTTTGATGATATGAAAGATTATATTTACAATTATTATTTTATCAGAGGAAAATAATGACCTATATATATATATATATAGATATAT